GGTCATCATTCCAACCATTACCACATCACAACAGTGGTCATCATTCCTAATATCATTATCACTTTCACCACACCACAGTAACTACCATTATCCAAAACACCTCTAACATCATCAACATTATCATCCACCTCGACCTCTACCATTATTATCATCACCACACCACAACACCGATCACGATCATCATCCCATCGTCATCCCCACCATCATCATCTTCCACATCTCTAACATCACATGTTCCACACTACTACCACTATCAAATTTCACACCACTACCACCATCAACTTCTACACCACTACCATCATCAACTTCTACACCACTACCATCATCAACTTCTACACCACTACCATCATCAAATTCTACACCACTACCACCATCAACTTCTACACCACTACCATCATCAACATCTACACCACTACCATCATCATCTTCTACACCACTACCACCATCAACTTTCACACCACTACCATCATCAACTTCTACACCACTACCACCATCAACTTCTACACCACTACCACCATCAACTTCTACACCACTACCATCATCAACTTCTACACCACTACCACCATCAACTTCTACACCACTACCATCATTATCTTCTACACCACTACCACCATCAACTTTCACACCACTACCACTATTATCTTCTACACCACTACCATCATTATCTTCTACACCACTACCATCATTAACTTTCACACCACTACCATCATTATCTTCTACACCACTACCATCATTATCTTCTACACCACTACCACCATCAACTTCTACACCACTACCACTATTATCTTCTACACCACTACCATCATTATCTTCTACACCACTACCATCATTAACTTTCACACCACTACCATCATTATCTTCTACACCACTACCACTATTATCTTCTACACCACTACCACTATTATCTTCTAAACCACTACCACTATTATCTTCTACACCACTACCACTATTATCTTCTACACCACTACCATCATTATCTTCTACACCACTACCATCATTAACTTTCACACCACTACCATCATTATCTTCTACACCACTACCACCATCAACTTCTACACCACTACCACCATCAACTTCTACACCACTACCACCATCAACTTCTACACCACTACCACCATCAACTTCTACACCACTACCACTATTATCTTCTACACCACTACCACCATCAACTTCTACACCACTACCATCATTATCTTCTAAACCACTACCACCATCAACTTCTACACCACTACCACCATCAACTTCTACACCACTACCATCATTATCTTCTATACCACTACCATCATTATCTTCTACACCACTACCACCATTATCTTATAAACCACTACCACCATTATCTTCTATACCACTACCATCATTATTTTCTATACCACTACCATCATTATCTTCTACACCACTACCACCATCAACTTCTACACCACTACCAACATCAACTTCTACACCACTACCAGCATCAACTTCTACACCACTACCACCATCAACTTCTACACCACTACCACCATCAACTTATATACCACTACCTTCTTTATCTTCTACACCACTACCATCTTTATCTTCTACACCACTACCACCATCAACTTTCACACCAGTACCATCATTATCTTCTACACCACTACCACCATCAACTTCTACACCACTACCACCATCAACTTCTACACCACTACCACCATCAACTTCTACACCACTACCACCATCATTATCTTCTACACCACTACCATCATTATCTTCTACACCACTACCATCATTATCTTCTACACCACTACCACCATCAACTTTCACACCACTACCATCATCAACTTCTACACCACTACCACCATCAACTTTCACACCACTACCATCATCAACTTTCACACCACTAACATCATTAACTTCTACACATCATCAACTTTCACACCACTAACATCATCAACTTCTACACATCATCAACTTTCACACCATTAACATCATCAACTTCTACACCACTACCACCATATAAAAAAATGCATCGACCAAATCAAGACACGCTATTGTACTTTATTTTTAATTCACCCTAATAAAAGGAAGATTTCAGGAAAATTCATATTCTAGGGGTGTTATGGGTCTGGTAAGGCTTAGGGTTAGGATCGTTGTCAGTCCCGTCCGCCTCAGAGACATCCACTAAGCCTAAGTCTAACCGTGACCCTTAATTCCTAAGCCCTAACCCAAACTCCAAACCCTATCCAGACTTATAACACTCCTAGACTTTTCTGTGAACTCCTAGATTTCTTCTGAGGCGGGGGTTGCATTAAAAATAAAGTACCAGGCAACTCACACTGACATCCTCATGGAAGGACGGAGACTGTGAAGCCACGCAAATAAGAGGCAGACGGCGATACACGTTGGAAGATTTAATCCTAAGATTGGGGGGGGGGGGGGGGGGGGGAGGTAATCTTAGAGTAGTAGTAGTAGATTTTTACCCCACTACGACATCACACAAGCAATAAACACCCGATGACACAAAGTGCCACTATGTGGGTGAGGAATACCCGTGGAGAGGTCCCAAAACCGAGTTCAGCCATTAGACCATATTTATGGCCGGGCTATATTGCGGGCCCTGGCAAGAGCCAGAGTAGGGCTTCGAAATAAAGAACAGTTGCATCTCATATTGAGATAACTGGATTATAATCTTAGAGAATCTTTAACTCAGGCCCGTAGAGGCTGTTTGTGATGCAAGCAACCAACCATAAAGATGAAGATGGCACCGGATTGAGTTATCCACTCTATTCGCTTCTGTCTATCACTTATCCACACACCCTCAACTATTCATCGTATAAACCTCCAAGCTAAAATTTTATATCCCTCGGAAATTCGTAATTCAATTTAAGAGCAACTCTCTATAAAAATTGTCTTCATACTTTACTTCGCGATTGCTCTCCCCTTGGCCCGAACAGACGGTGCTGTCGATTCCTACTGGATGCAAAAATTTCAAGTGGTCTATTGATTTTCTTTCATAGTCGAAAATCTTCGATAGAATCTACCTTTTTTTTTTTTTTTGCCTTTTTTATTTACTGGTCTTTCAGAGTATGTATGAGATTTGGAATTCTGAATATGCCGTTTCCAATGAGGGAGACAGGCAGATGACAGTTTCAGAATGGGTTATAACTAGTGCGTTTTGAGGAGGCATTAACTTGGAGAGGTTAAGTGCGCACGACAAAGAAAAAATAGAGGGGAGGGAAAGGTAATATTAGAGGAAGCAAGAAAGAAACTATGTAGAAAGCGTAATCGAAAAGAGAAAGATAACGACAATTGGGAAAACAAAAAGATGAAAGGGGAGGAAGAGAAGAAATTAGAAGATAATGAAGAGGATGAAGATCAGAAACACCCTAATGAGTAAAGTGTCTTCTGTGCTATAACAGCTTTAGGCGTTGTCCATGTGTGTGTGTGTGTGCGTGCGTGCGTGTGTGTGTGTGTGTGTGAAATACTGATGACAAAACACAATTTCGGATGCGACCTGCCCATTCGAGAAAGGGCGCTTTTGATTTATTCTTCCCCCAAAAAAACTTAAAATCGTTTTATTATATCTATTTCTGTCCCTTCTCTTCTCGTGCTCTCTCTCTCTCTCTCTCTCTCTCTCTCTCTCTCTCTCTCTCTCTCTCTCTCTCGTCGTCTCTCTTTTTTTCTCCCTCTATATTTCTTACTTGCTCTCTCTCTCTCTCTCCATTTCTTCCGAGTTTTGTGACTGTATTTCGCCCTGCCTCAGTCTTCATGTCTCTCTTTTGCTTTCTCTATCTTTCTGTCCCTGCACTTCTCTCTCTCTCTCTCTCTCTCTCTCTCTCTCTCTCTCTCTCTGGCTCTCTTCTGTCTATTTACTATATCTCCCCCCCCCCCCCAGTCTGTCTTTTGTTTTGGACTGTCTGTCTGTGTTAACGTCTATCCTTTGATTTGTCCGTACACACACACATATATATACATACATACTTCTTCTTGCTGTTCATAGACCGTAAATGCCGGAAAATGTCTGGTTGTTCGTCCACTCCTGGACTTATTATTGGTCCAAAACTTGAATTTTGCGTGCACATCCGGTTTACTGATCTGGCTTATTTTACGCTGCTTCCTCGCCTCTCAGGCAGATGTACTCAGACTTTACAGGAAATACCCTTAAAAATAGCCTCCAATGGCATGCTTGTTAAAGGACAGTTGAGCCTTCTTTGTTCTCCAAAATAGACGCCTGAAACCCACACGGAAAGGGCTTAAACAAACGTTTAATTCTGTGCCCATCGGTATCAAATGTTTGGGTATGGCACCATATGTTCCATGCCCTTGCTGTGAGAAATTGGTCCTTTAATCATTTGAGTCATCATCATCATCATGCAGCAGGTCCTTTACAGAACGTCGCTCTCATCACGGTCTGCCTGAAAAAAAAAACTCAGTCTAACGAAAGCTCTCCTGCCTCGTGCACTGTCCTACCCATGATATCACTTGTATCTTGTGCCCATCTTCGTTCTGGTCGGCCCCTGCCCCTCTTTTATGGTGTCTTGCCTTCTGCTATTATTTTTTTTTTTTTAAATCCGGCGTGGGGCGTAACCCTTTGAGTAGCAGGTAAATAGAATTTAGCCTGTTATCTTTTAGAACATGTTAGTTTTAAATTATAAAAATTTAGTCCAGAAACGTGTTAAATTATAGTACTTTGTGGAAAGATTTAACGTAAAAATTGAGGCAGTATGGACTAGTGTAACAACTTAAACAACTTAATGTGGCATCAGGAGTTAGTACAATCCTGCAAACTTATGGCGAGTTGCTAAGTATTAAGCTAGTTAATTTTTTTATCTTAACAATAAGAAGAAGTTACCATCAAACAATGTTATTTTCAGAATGAAAAGTGCGTGCTTTCGATAAATCTTTATAGAACTATGAATGTAGATAAACAATACCTAAGCCCAAGGGAGACATTCACTAAGACAATAAATCGATTCTCATTTCTGGAAACGTCGCCAGCGAGACATACAATGTGAGAAGGCAGTTCTAAACTCCAGACACCGTCTATGGAAACACAAATCGCCGAAAAACAGATAGGTTCCTGCGTAGATCCCCTCTGGGATCAGTCTCTGACAGAAGATGTCTCGCCCCGCCTCCGTCGCGGCTCCCAGGGGTCGGAAGAGATGGTCGGTCGAAGAAGCACGCCTCTGACCCCTCAAGAGTTCGAGCTGTTGTCGAGTTCGAATCCTTTCAAGCAAGACATTGCGGAGAAGTACGGTTTGGCGTACCCAGCCATTACCACAAGATCTCGTAGCCGGGATGTTTTACAGAATGCACGAGGAGTCTACGAGGGTGGCGATGCTGGGGATGTTAGTGCTGCTACCGGAAATCGGTTCGATGCTGTCGACACGAGTGAAGATGGGGATTTCAGGAAAACCACAAGAGAAGAGACCAAAAGCGTATTTGTAGCGTTGAGCCAGTTTCTTCTCAGAAATCGTCAGTCTATCGATGAAACCATTCAGAAACTTGACGATACGGATGAGTTTCTATCTGGGCGTTGTGAGAAGTTAGATAAGTCCTTGATTAATCAAGAATTGTTGCATAGTGGAGAGATTTGGGAACTTGCTGATAAGAATACAACTACAGATAAAGTTGAACCTTCAAAAGTCAATGACGTACCTGGTAGGAAGGATGCACTTTATAGTTTTAACCGTGGAGAGGCACAAGGAGTATGCCACGATAGTGATAAGAATGGTGCTTTCCAAGACAGTTCGTTAGACACTTACTCCCATACCCCTCGGGTTCTAAGGTCCGATACCTACAATCTGGAATCTAGCAATGAGACGGCCCTCACAACTTCACGCAGTTCTTCATTGTCCTGGTCCCAAAGAGGACAAGACGCCGTTAGCCCATATAGTCCTGATATTGAGGAGGACCCGTATTCGGCCATTAGACATATGGACATGCTACGGAAACAGTCTGTATCGCTTTCAGAAGATGATATGCAGCAGTATTTCAACGGACATACTGGTGGTAGTTCTCAAATATCCCCTGACCAGTTCCAGAAATCAGAGCTGTCTGCTTCCGACAGAAAAGAAACAGGCGACATAGTGATCCCTGTTTTTGAACCTTTGCTTGAAATTGTTGGGAGAGAAGACATAGTTGAATCATTGTTTCCGGATCAGCCATCTCTCAAAGAACCATTGTCTGCGTGTAGAACAAGCAAGGAGGAAAGCGTCGTGAATTTGGAAGAGAATGGAGCAACACTGAAGTCGGCATTACAAAATCAGCAGTCTCCAGAAGAACTGGTTTCTATACCTAAAACAAGCAAGGGTGAAAGAAATGAGCAATCTTCTGAAGCACAATTATCAGAAGCAAACAAGGGTGTAAGTTTCTTGAACGTAGGGAAGGCGGTGGACAAATTTGAATTGGCGTTTCAAGACCAGCAATCTCCCGAGACACATCTGTCTGAGTCTACAACAAGTAAAGATGTCAGTTTCCTGAATTTTGAGGATAGTTTTTCAGATTATATTTCTTTATCTGGTGAATCTGCTCTTAAACTCGGATCTTTTTATAAAGATGAACCAGGCTTCGTAGAAGAGATAAGCCAAACCGTAGAGGCGTTTACTAACAAGGAAGTAGACACTATCTTCGAAGGGACACTTAGAAAACACGCACAAAAAGAATTACTAAAGAACACTTCTGTTAAGATTTCTCCTGAATTTTGTAAAACAGTTCGAATGCAGAAAGATGGCAGCGAAGATGGTGGTAACCTGGAGAGCAGACTGGCATCCCCGGTTAAGGAGTGTGAACCGGAATCCACAGGACTAGACAAAGACGATCAAGTAGACAATGTTTGCCAGATTCTCTCCTCTGAAGCACAAGAGCAGTCAACAAAGCTGGAGACTGATGTGTTTAACTCGTCCTTCTATGCTGCGTTTAGTGCTACTGTTTCTTCTCTAGAAGATATGGAAGATGCCGGACCGGTTTCAGTCCATGATGAAACTATTGTAGCCCCTCTCACTGACGAAGATAAGTGCGAGGAAGGGAAATCTAGTGGTGCTGGGGATATCGACAGTGATAGCGTCTTTGGGTCTGAAGTAAATGAAAATAGAGACGATAGCTTGGAGGCGAAGGATAGCGATGTCTGGGATGTGTTTCTGACACCTGGGATTGAAGCTTCAGATTTAGAAATGAATTCATTTTCTGAATGCGACGATCCATCTCTCTGTATTTCTAAAGACATTTTGCTGCAAAATAAGTTTAAGGTCTCAGACGACAGTGCTGACTCTTCCCGTGGTAGTGTGTCAAGAGAATCTATGAAGGTCAATCTATCCCAGGACAGTTCGATTTTAGACCAGTCAGAAGACTTTCACTTGTCTGCATCTACAAATCAACAGGAAACTGGCTTGCAACGCCATTTTGATCTCGTGACGCAGCTGGACCCTCTGACCGAGTGTACCTCGACAGACTCTGTCATGGTTCATTGCTCCAGTGATAGTCTTTATGCTATGCCAAACACCCAGGCACAGAAGCGAGGAGAGAAATCACGCATGTATCGAAGACATGGTGAGAAACTAACAGAAAAGCAAAATCGGCGCAGTTCCTTACCAGTGATGGGAATGGAAAACCAAGGGAATGGAATCGCTCCGCTTACAGTATCTCAGTCTGTTCGCATTGAGGAAGAACGATCGAGAAGATCATCTCTTCCTTCGGCTGTTGCCAAAGAGAAAGATATGTATACCTCTAAAACTGCTAACACCGAAAAGGAAGCTGAATCTAACACGTCGGACCTCTTCGCTAGTTATACACCGAATACGCCACCTGATGATGGTCAAATCGTTCCAAGTGAAATAACTCTCAAAGAATCAGAAGGTCCTGCTGAGAAGACAGAAAATTTCCCTCGTGTTTCTAATGTTTTTCCGGCATCAGTAAGTAAACTAGTCAACGCAATAAGCGTTCAGATGATTAAAGCAACCGTTTCTTCAGTGTCCTGTACTCCGCCTGCAACTCTACCTCTCTCAGGCACATCTACGGTAGCTGCTTGGACAAAAGAAGGCCCTAAAGCATCATTGTCGAGCACCAAACTCCCAGACGTCGACAACGATGGGGCTGAATCACCCACGCAATCGGCAGCTTTTACCGATTTCATCCGCAGTCGTCTGCAAAAACCGCTAAAGGCAATATCAATGTTTGCATCGAGGACTTCTGAATCCACAAGGAAAGACACACAATCTATCCCCATGGAAGGACAGTTTGTATCTGGTCATCGTGCCACTGCTGCAGTTGTGACGCAGCCTGGTAGTTGTCTAACTACCACACAACATCAGCATGAATCAAGAAGAGAAGACGCCACAAATGCTTCTTTCCGAAACAGGCTACTTCACATGCGCTCCACGGAATCCCCGGAGCAACCCGAACGTTCAGGATTTCTCGAGGAGAATATCAAACTCAGTCAAAGTGTGAACATCAACATTCCTCCAGATCTTGTACCTTATGAGGAGACTTTCATCGAAGCTCTGCAGTCTCTTCCAGAGGCTAGTAGTGATAGTCTGATTCTGGCTTCCGAAGATTTGAACACCGCTGCCACAGAAGGTGATTTGAACACCGCTGCTACAGAAGGTGATTTGAACACCGCTGCTACAGAAGGTGATTTCAGTGAACCAGTTAATGAAGCCGGCGAGATAAATGACGACAACAGCAGACAATTGCAGGAGGTAGACTCTGAAGCTATACGTGTTGAAGAAAAACCAATCACTTCATTAGAAGTTACTGGTAGAGATTTGGCAGCCCCCGATGCGGATAAGGCTTCCACTCCAGGACGCTTGAGCGCCGGCAGTAGCACTGACAGCGATGATATTGACGCTATTGTCCAAGAATACAAACAGGAAGTTACTGATAGCGACGAAGGTGACATAGATGATATCGTTATGGAGTTTAAAAAAGAAAACCCCGCAGAAGACAACAACACCCTCGGAGGATCTGAGGAAGGCATTCTTAGAAACACTGCTTTTAATAAATTCAGCCGCGTTCTGAACAAAATGCAGTCAGTAACAAAATACATAAAGAAAAAGAGTGAGCAGACGATCAAAGACCATGAAGAAAAACATAGACCATCAGTCTTTTCTCTCCGTAGAAGACACACCGAAAGCTATTCTCAGGACGGTGGAATCGAGGACACAACTCCACAACCACAGGAGAGAGAAGATGACGAAGATGCATTGGAGCTGCTGAGCAAGGCTGCAGAAGTCTTCAAAGAACAAACCGTCAAGAAAAAGCTAGTGACCCCGAGCAGTACTTGGCGATCGAAAACGATACACACAGAGAACTTGGTAATCGATGATGATAATGACAGTGATCTCGTTTCCAGGGCCGCTGTTCTCTTTAGAGGTTTCAAATGTAAGAAGCCTGGCGATATTGATTCTGTTGTATCCACATCAGAGGGAGAAAAATCTACGTTGGAGCTATCAGAAGCTTGCAACAACAGTATTGATCTATCGAAATTACAAGCGTTTGAAATAACCCATGATGATGTTGAGTCAACGAAAAACGATCACATATATGATACGTCTGTCTGCTCAGATGATACTGATTTTAAAGAAAGCCACATCAGAAATTTAACCTTACAGTTGGATCATAGGGATAAGAATAGGGTCGCAAATGAGCAACTCCTTCGACCGTCCATTGGATCGGACCAGCTGGAAGTTGCAGACACCACTGATGTCTTAACTAAAAGCGATGACCACCCTGACAGCGATGCCAGTAAATTTGATGACTCCGGGTTCGAATCCATCAATCGGCATATAAGCGAGCAGATGGTTCTATCAGACGCTACTGAGTCACCATTCGGGGATTTGACCGAGGAAATCGTTGCGGTTAGCTATCAACAAGAGTCTTTTCTAGAGCCAGCCAATGTAACTATAGACCGCGAGGTGGAACATCCCTTTTCTGATACAGAAAACCCACTGGAGTGTGTCAGAAGTCTATCTGAACTACAGCTTTCACAGAAAACAGCAACAGTTAGCGTTGGTTCTGATGGTACATTCAAGGAGAGATCGGCAGACTTCTTCGAGTCTGGTGATACATTCAATGATCAAACCGTACATAACATCCTCGAGTCTGATGATACATCTGAGGATAAAACAGTACATAACATCCTCGAGTTTGGTGATACATCCAGGAATAAACCAGTAGATAACATTCGCGATTCATATGAAACATTCAAAAAGAAAACAGTCGATAATATACTGCGCTCTAATATCAGATTCAATGAAAGATTAACAGATAGCAGCTTCCATTCTAAGACAGCACCCAGTGTGAAATCAGCTAACATCGTGGATTCTAATGATAGATCGGACGGGAAATCAGTAGATAATATCCTCGATTCTGATGATGCACACGGGGATAAATCAATAGAAAGTTGCATCGATACATCAAGAAATGAAACAGTGGATAATATCATGCATTCTGATGATAGGTCCCAGAGAAGAATAGACAATATACTACCACCGGAACGGGAAGAACTTTGTGAAAAGAAAACAATTGAGCAAAATAGATATGTAAGGGATATTGAAGTCAACATGCCTAGCCAACCTGATACTTGCATTGACAAGGTTATGGGTAGCATGGCTGAAGAAATTAAAGATGACGCAGTAAATCAGTCAGAAAGTCATGCAAGCAACATGTTTGATAACAAAATGGATAACATTAAAAGGGATAGGAAGAATCAACAAGATATCGAGGCAGATAACGAGGCCGAAAATAATATGGATGAAGCCTTTACGACAGAATCGGCCTCTGGAACAGAGAAAATTATGCAAATGGCATTTAATGAGGTGCTTTCCAAAAATGAAATAAAGAATGACGTGACAGTTGTCTTTACCCCTGAAAGTTGTGCTTCTGACACTACGGCCGGGTCTACCTCACCTCCAGCATCTGCAAATTTAAATGAACATACCTGTGACCTGATTCTAAGCACAGGATACGATGAGACAAGAATAGTTAAAAAAGTAGATACAACTGTCAGTGCAGATAGTGACATAGTTGGGGACAAAATCAATAATAGCCAAAGAGAAAAGACAAACGGAAAGTTGGAAGAGTTAGCAAAGGAAATTTCAGCTTTGGAAGCAGCTGGGTTGAAGCAGGCAGCAGGGATACCTTCGGCAGACGCATTGGAGTTGAGAGCGCCAGACTACCAAAGACTATCTTCGGAATCATCAGAAGGACCAGATGCCTACAGCATGACCGTTAATTTACCGGAGTCTCCAGACAATTTGAAGAATTTAGAAGACGCTGCCTCGTTTTCTTTGTGCTGTGGTGGAAATTTTAAGATTAACCTGAACTGTACGGCAATGGTGAAGAAACCAGACAGGCGTCCATCAACAGTGGTCATCAAAGATAAAAGATGTGCGATGACAGAGGAGGAGAAGATGTTTCCCTTGAAGGTGAGTTTGAGCTATCCAGATGGACTGGATGCTGGTTCTGAGAAAGTGGATACGAAAGTTCTTTGTGAAAATTCAACTAAAGAGAAAGCACAGGTTAAAATTATTCAGGATTTAAAAGTCAATGAACATGAGAGAAATAGAAACTTTGCGGGTAGTCGTGAGGAATTGTTGGAAGAGGTATCTCTCAAGCAGACCATGGCTGAAGAATCAAACCCTGAGCCTCAGGTCTTGGAACAAGATGGCACAGATCTGACGCAGGACCTCAAGGAAGAGGTCAATGATGTGTGTGAAGTCGCCGAGGAAGGAGATGGTGGGTATGATGAGCTGCAATGCGAGAAGAGAGTGGTCAAAAGGAAGTCAATGATTGAGGAGACAGGCGCAGACAAGAAGGCTATGAATATTTATCAATCGGTTCTGAGTGAGTTATTGCAAAAACAAACTAAAGAAGATCATAGAAAGAAAGAAACGGAACTTTTAGCTAACGAAAAGACTACTGCGCAATCAAAACGTTTTGCAAGAGTTATCTCAGATTCTGATTTTTATGAAAACTTTGGGGAGAATGTTGAGGTCCCGCTGAAAGACAAACAAGGAGATATAACTCAGGTTGAAAACATGAAAGTGTATGGTGAAGAGAAGAGCACTGAGAAATTAGAAGGCCCAGCCCCGTGTGCTGGAACATCTACTGTTGAACCACCAACTAGGTCGCACCCTACGCCCAACATCAGCATGCAACAAAGTATTGATATGTACGACAATGTTATGTTTCCCGAAAGTGCTCCGCCACTTCCAAAGAGAAGTTTTAGACAATCTACCGACGTGTGTCGTGTTGAAGACAAAAGCAATCTTGATCCTCGATATGCTAACGGAACGAGGTCAAGCTTCTCCAGCGTTGTGTCAGACGGCGCTGCCGAAGTCTATCACCAGGCACGAAGACATCACGCCAGAACTAAATGGGTTAGTTCAACTCCTCATCTCTCAGCTACAGAAAGACCTGAACAGATACCATCCAGTCGGACCAGCTCCTACCCATACCTACCAGGTTCAGAAGCGGATATCTCCTGCCAGTACCCTAGTTCTAATGCAGTATCGGCCTCAAGTTTTCAGTCAGACTCAGTCTGCTGGGGCAATTATGCTAGAATCGAAGACGTCCAGGAAAAAAGATCTTTCGACTCCGAAAGTTCATCGGGAGTTGTCGTTCCGGGAGTCGGCCGGGAATCAACGCTGAGCGATATTTCGGGGGCATATATTTTCGGGGAATACGCTACTGTAAAAGATGACCTCAACAGAGCCAAACTTCTGCAATCAGCTGATGGTCAGACTCAACGAAATAACAATTTCCAGTTCAGACATTTTCCCGCTGCCATTGAAAATCCGCATTATCAAAACGTAAGGGTCATAACTGCTCAACCGTCAGGTACTCGCTACCGGGTCATCCCTTCACAACTGGATGTCCACGAAGAGCAGGCTCCTGGGTTTGAAAACTACGCCGTCATTGGTCAACCGATGCAGTCGAAATCTGTTCAGTTTTCGGCTCCGACTACTCCAGTCGGGGTTATCAAAGTCCATTGTGCTTCTCAGACAAGTTCGGAGTCCCTGGCTGGTCTTGTTAGAAACGATGCTTCCGACATTCTAGAAGGTCTGCCAGTATTTGAGTACACACTTGGGGCTACGCAGAGCACAAACAGTCTTCTGTCGGATACGACGGATAGTTCGCCTGTCACGCGCTGTCCTGACAACAGACAGCCTGATCTAACCAGACAGACAGCGTCATTAGACAGACGTAAATTTCACAAAGATCTGCCAAAGAAAAAGGCAACAAAAGTGACTTTTTCGCGCGATGAAGTCCTCACAGAGGTCATTGATGGCATTAAGAAATCTGAAGGGGTGGAGTCCAATGGGCGTGGCTTGAGAGGTATGGCCACTTCCACGCTGTCTACATTAGGGGGAGGAGTTCGGGAATTCGCCAGAATCTTCCACGTCCCTTTCCAGTGCTGTCGCAGTGGAAGGCGAGCTAAACCCAAGGTAAGTACAATGTCTGTAGGTTTGGCTTGTGTTCGTCTCAGGCACTGACGCAAAGAAAAAATTGGTGGGAGGGGGTTGGGGGCGAGGTGGGGGGGTTGAACTGGGGGTCCCCCTACCATACAAATTGTATAGGCAAAATGGGAAATGGGTGCTCAGGCCCTTCAGCGCCCTATCGCCCCTCCCCCCTCCCCCACAACTAAACCAAAGAGGTCGTATCGGAGGACAGGGTTGTTGAGTTCAGCTGCTCTCCTCACATAGTTAAAAAGATAATGATGATGTCAGTATACTGGGCACATCATGAGAAGAAATTGGACATATAGTAATCAAAACAATGTTTTCCCGTAATGAATTTAAACAATGCGGATACAAACAATACATTGCACAATTTATTGCCAAGCATATTTCGCTGTATCTCATCAGGTGTGTTACGACAGAGTTATATCAACATAAAATAAAGCACAAAACTAAATAAATTCAACTGAAATGCGAATAGTTTCTTTCAAAACATTGCGTCTGTTTCATGGCCACCGGAATCTCACCGTAGTCACGTGACTTACCAGGGCAACCTCAAATTTACGATAAATTCCGTCTGCTTACAAAGGATGAGGTTGTTGATTTTTATTGTTAACGCTTCGGCGATTCTCAAAAGTCTCCTGTTCGGGGTGTGGTAAACCACACGGAAGGCACTGTCTGTGTCAATTATGTGTCCGGAATTAAATAGATGACGTCAAATGGAAGAAGCGGGTTCTTTCCTCTTGATTGGTCTCGACACCCTAGAAGGATCCTGGTGAGATACAGCGAAATATGCCTGGTAGAAAATTGTACCCTGATGAGATACATCGAAATATGCCTGGCAATAAATTGTGCAATGTTTTGTTTGTATCCTCATTATTTAAAATCATTACGGGATGTTGATGTAACTCTGTAGTAACGCACCTGATAAGATACCGCAAAATATAGTAATCAAACAGTCACTGAAATGAGAAACAAGCAGATTGAGGAAACCTAGACATCCAAGAGAAACCCTCCGTTGGTGATACTGGATATACTGCACAGGGTAGAACGGTGTAGAGGAATGGACTGCGAGCTCAAATAAACTATGAATAGTACAGCAGGATAATGATCATCATGAGGATAACGATATAGAGGGTACTTCTAATCAGTCAAATGCCACCTCATCAAGAAAGGTTGGCTGTGATTGATTTCCAGCATTATCTCTTATCCTGATTGCCACTTGTCGCATCCTGATTGCACACTCTCGCATCCTGATTGGACACTTCCGCAGCCTGATTGCACATTCTCATATCCTGATTGCACAATTTCGCATCTCGATTGCACTATCGCATCTTGATTGTACACTCTCGCATCCTGATTGGACATTCCCGCATCCTGATTGCACACTCTCGCATCCTGATTGGACATTCCCGCATCCTGATTGCACACTCTCGCATCCTGATTGGACATTCCCGCATCCTGATTGCACACTCTCGCATTCTGGTTGCACACTCTCCCATCCTGATTGCACACTCTCGCATCCTGATTGCACACTCTTGCATCCTGATTGCACACTCACGCAATCTGATTGCACACTCTCGCATCCTGATTGCACACTTTCGCATTCTGATTGCAAACTCTCGGACCCTGATTGCACACTCTTGCATCCTGACTGCACACTCTTGCATCCTGATTGCACACTCATGCATCCTGTTTGCACTCTTGCATCCTGTGGGGGGAGGGGGGAGGGTAGCATCGATCTTTTCATTCCTAGTGTTGTTGTTGTTTGTTTGTTTGTTTGTTTGTTTTGAGAACTTTTTTAGGTGGTGATTTACTAAGAAAAATTTATTATAGGCAAATATTTGTGTGTTTATAAAAGCAATTTCTGCGCCCTGATACATATTAGGCATATAGGGCTAAACCTATTTTGCATGAAGCGATCGGCACTTTATCAGTGATGTGGTCAGCCACGCACCTGCTGCCTCTACTTCTCAGGACGTTCCAGGTACCTGAGTTTGGATTTATGAGTTAAATTATCTTCACAGCACTCCAGACACATCGATAGGCGCTCAGGTCTCCCTCTCAAGGCATTCATCAGCGTCGCACGGTTAATAGTGCCAGTCCTATGTTGGTTAGCAAGACCTAGTGTGCGTCCTGTGCGCTTCTCATGCTTAGCTGTGCCGATCTTTACTCACAATTCTCGTATTCCTAGCAGTAATGTGGACACGTTGCTTCCTAATTCCTCAGAAAGTCATACCTCTTTAAGGGCAACGACAATGTCAGTGTGATCCATGGGCCGGCCATTTTCAATTAATGCAGCACTTGCCAGTCTATCAGCTCTTTCATTTCCAACTACGCCTGCATGCCTTAGGGCGAATATAAAGGTAACTGCACACAGAGGAGAGTTTTGCAATGACTCAATCCACTGTCTGCGTAGTCAGCCTGCCTCGACCAGCCGGATCATGCTCAAAGAATCACTCAGCACACACACGCGGGAATAGTCCGGTGATTCTAGCCACATGAAAGCTTGTGTCACCGCCATCACCTCCATCGTCATGCTGCTGGTGGTCATGGAGAAGGCACCACTGATTTTTTTTAACTCTTCTGCCTGAAAAGCGAGCTGTAAATGCCCATGCACTCTTATATCCTCGAGTAACGGACCCGTCTGTGAAGATCAGCACACCTGTCTCATCTGACTTGTCATTGATAACCGCGCATACCTCGGCACTGACATCAGCTGGATTCTGCTCCCGACAACCCCTATCGAGCCTCACGACCAGTAGACTGTGAGATTAGGCGCTTTAGACGCTGGTATCCATTTCTCACCTGGATGGATATCTGTAAGGCTGCAAACCTGCATGATGTCTTCTTCCCTACCCAGCCATGATTTGCCCCTTTTAAGCCTAAGGTCCTTTTTCTTGAAGAGCGTGTGGTGTTAAGGGTGCAGTCAGATCTGAGCTTATCTTGAGGTATGCGCGAGCCCTCCAGATCTTGATCCTGTAGTTTATGGTAAAGAAAGGAAAGAAGGTACCTCATTACTACACAAGAGGTGTCTCAAATGCATCCCAGAATAATGCGCATTGCTTCGTTTTGCACCTTCTCAGGTCTTTCAGTCTGAGTATGGCTAGGCTGACAGTAAGTATGACAAGAGCATATTCGGTGGGAGAAAGCACAAGTCCCTCGAACAGAAGTAAAAGCAGCCTCCGCTCAGTGTTAGCGGCGGCCAGGACTCCTCATTGCTGACAGGCCTTTGTGTGCTTTTGTTATAACATGGTCAACATGTTCTTTAAAGCACAGGCTGCTATCAAACCTCACTCCGAGGTATGTCATCAGATTTGTTCTCGTCAAAATTTCCTCGCTGCTTTCCACTGCTGGTAAGTCTGCCTCCCGTATATGCGTGTTCAAGGAGAGCCACGTCACTGAGGCCTTTGAAGGATTGACATAAGCGTTAGAATCTGCACACCAGGAGGAGAGGCGATCAAATTCACTCTGCATTGAATTGGCAATCTCTTGACGTTTCCTTTTTTGTCGATATACCAAGACGTTGTCAGCAAATGACAAGGTCCTGTATCCTCCCGTGCAACTGCTGCTCAGATGTCAGCATTGTGTACACATTGAATAGAACCGGAGACAGCGGAGAACCTTATGGCAATCCTGGACTGATGGTTATCGGTTCTGAGGACCATGAACCACATCTGAGTATCACCTGTCTCTGAAAAAGTGCTGCGGCTACCCAGGGAGTGATGAAGGAAGATACTTGCAGCTGGAGAAGAATGTGCACCAAGTATTCAAATGGTACTTTGTTGTACGCATCCTCTAAGTCTAGTGCAGCTGCACATGTCTCTTCTCTCACATGAAAACCTTCATAGACTTCACAGGCGAAGACTGCTCCATTGAGCCATGTCTCTTTGTTTCGTCTGTATCCTCCAGTTGTGGATGGTAACCTGTGATGCTTTTCACCATCAAGTCTACGTGCTACAATTTTCTCTAGAAGCTTGCCTGTAGTGTTCTGCATGGTAATGATTCTATAGCCACTGATCGTGGAATGGTCTTTATTTGGTTTTGGTAATGGTAGTAGGTAGCTGTGTAGCCACTTCTCTCTGATTTGACCACTTCTGATGCTGACGTTGAACTCTCCAGCCAGTTCTGACATATTGTCCTCTAACATCTGCAGCATATCAGCATACTGGATGCCGTCTGGACCTGGTGAGGTGTTTGGCGATTTCTTGAGAGTTGTCTGCATGGTCTTAGTTGTAATACTGTAATCGTCAGTTCTGCTTTTTCACACAACTCTGAAAGTGTTGACTTATCTCTCAGTCTGGCTGCCTCATCTTTCTGGTCGGTCTGGTTAAAGGAGAGCCTGTCCCTTTACCTGCAGCAGATTTCTGCCATGTTCAATCTGCGCTTTGAAAGTCAGGGATACCCCGACGTTGTGTAGTACCATTCATCGCCCAATGAAGTCGCCAAAATGTGGCAAGAGACCCTTCATAGCACACCTTCTTTCAGTAATCGTCCCATTTCTCATTCTTGACCTGCTTTACACATAGCTTGAAAGCCATCGTTGTCTTATTCACTTTATCTTTCAGGTCCCCCAGGAGCGCAGACTGCGACGTGCTACTCTTCCTGTCCTTTTGCCACACCTTGACGGCCTGCCTCTTTTCTAACCATGCCCTTTCAACCTCTGCATCCCACCACGTTTGCTGAGTTCAATTCTTTCTCAGACTGAGGGAAGTATTTACTTAACAGCGTCTAACTTTGCTGATGACATCCTGTCCTGTGTTATCATACCTAGGAACTACTGAAGGCTTGGGGGACCTGGGAGCCAAACTCATTTTTTTTTTCAAGTGTGACTAAAGACAGCTAATCATATGGTGTGCCCATTTGGAGAGAATGCTTTTTGATGCTATACCGTATAATGCATGTACTAAAAGAAGAGAGGAACGCAGAGCAAGAGGTAGACCAAGAATCACATGGAAACATAAAATCAGAGAAACTGTACAGTAATG